TTAGACCAGTCCTGATTTTAACAATAAATTTCAGCACGTTCAGCATATTCTGTCATTTTATTTAAAGTAGTCACAGTTTCCACATAAAAATTTTCCTTATAAGGTTGAAATTTTCTTTAAGATGAGTTTGAGTTGAACTGGGCTGTTAAGAGGCCCAGACATGGCAAATGCTGAAAATCGGACTCTATCAACCAATTCATATAAAATAAGCCTTGGGCCAATGCCCAGAAGCCCAAGGCAAGCTCCATTCACAGATTACTATTGCCATAGACCTGGGCCCGAAGTTCACAGCCCAAACGATAGACACGAAGAGTCTATTAAACTACATTAGGGATATGGGGTATTAATTTACAATATAAATGTAGGGTTTCGAGTTAAGTAGCGGGTTCAAATTAAGAGGGTCCTTCCTTTTGTTTGAATTCGGACTTGAACTTGAGACCCGAATTTATAAATGCAAATTAATTAGGGCCCTTTTTAGAGACAACACTGTAATAGAAAATCATAGTTTCTTTAGAATACCCTTTAAATAAAATATGAGATGAGCCTCGCCGCATAAAACATACAAATTGCGGGGCCCTCATTAAATACTATGTTAAAATATTTTAGAAATCGGGTAAGCCATTTAGCAAATTTCCATGGTCTCCCGCAAAGATACCAACACGCTAGTCGCTTTAGGCGCGTTATTTAATAATTTTACCTTCCTAAACTCGGGTGCGCATTTCATGCAACCCAAATCCAAATCCCAAAACGTTGAATAAGAGGTGTTGAGGATCCGGGTGCATTTCATGTGACGTGATCCAAAAACACGCTCTTAAACGGCGTTCATTTTCGTAAAAAGTAAATAAAAGCGGTAAATAATTTATAAAATTGCACTATAAGTTTGAACTTGTATAAAAATCAGATTTTTAGCCATTTATAATAATTTAAGCGACCGTGCTAGAACCACGGGATCCGGGGGTGCCTAACACCTTCCCTCGGGTCAACAGAATTCCTTACACAGAATTTCTGGTTCGCAGACTCCAATTGGGAAGTCGAAATTTTCCTCGATTTGGGATTTAAAATCGGTGACTTGGGACACCAAAAGCCAATCCTATCCCAAGTGGCGACTCTAAAAAATAAATAAATAACCTATTTCAAATAATGTCACTTTAAATGGAAAAACTCCCTTATACATTATCCTTCGGGGTAGGTGTGTAAAAAGGAGGTGTGACAATAACGTGTAGTATTCCGATTATGTCCTTTCATTACAAGTTATTATGTTTAATATTATAATGATATTTTAGTATTCCAACATTGTATCCATGTTCCAATTGATATTGGAATTTAGACTTAAGAGTAAAGAAAATTTGGGGATTGGTAGACTATTTACGGTTAGTCTCTTTTTCTCGTTTCATTCCCAAAACGGCATATCTAAGTTTAGTCAAATTCACGAACTTATTTTTACAATATTCTAAAACCGGCATAATATGGCTAACGCGTATTATTTATGTGTAGGTTTTAAGAGGTATGTCCTAAAATTAATAGGATTATATGGCTAGCGTGTAGTATTCCGGTTATGTTCTTTCATTACAAGTTATTGTGTTTAATATTATAAGGATATTTTAGTCTTCCAACATTATATTCATTGTTATAAAATAATAAAAAAATAAGAGCAATATTGCAGAGAAAGAGAGAGAGGGAATTCTTATTGATATGGGGTGAATTACAATGGAATAGAACCCTCTATTTATAGGGAGAGGTTGACTTAGCCACCAAGTAATAAACCCTAGGATCTCTCTAAATATGGACATTCACCATAAATAGAATTCTATTTATAACATTGATGATTTTATAATGATATAGATATATAGATAGATAGATATAGATATATGTATAGTTATGTATGATCTATGTATATAACTAGAAAAAATAAATAATAAATATCGCGAGCTATTTGTGTCCTAAACTAGTTATTTCTAAGGGAAAATTCAAAATGCTACGTAGTTTGCGATTAGGTTGAAAGTTATAGCAGGCGAAAGTTCAAAAGACGAAACGTTTATTTATTAATGCATTTTGGAAAAAGTAAAAGGTGGAGGGGGAATTGTAAAAAGTTCATTCCGTTGCCGGGACTTGAACCCGGGTCTCTCGGGTGAGAGCCGAGTATCCTAACCACCTAGACTACAACGGATTTGTTATATGCTTATGAGAATTTTTATTATAACATCAAAAGTGCATTACAAACAAAAATAATCAAATTTGCTCCTACACTATTCGAAATTGAATAACTTGCCCCTTTGTTAAACTTTTGATCGAATATTGCCTCCACCATTAAGAAAAGTTTCACTTTTGCCCTTGACACCTAATAGAGCACCAATCCTTGAGTAATTTTAATACTTTTTGTAGAAGAATTTGAACACATGGAAACCTCCATTTCATGTTAGAAGCGATTAACTAACAACAAGGATATTGATGTACCAAAAGTGTAACGGAGCATAATTAAGCAATTTTAACTTGTAGGAACAAATTTACACTTTTTCCGTGAGAATGCCTTATAGACATTCGCAGAGGCGGATGTACTTTTATAGGTACAGGTTAAAATTTACTAGAATTTAATAAAATTACAATAAATAGTAGAATTGAACTCATAACTTCAAGATTATAATGGGTTCAGGATGAAAACCTAAAAATTGAACCCATCAAATTTAAATCATGGATCAGCCTGCCTCAGGATATTTGTATAAGCCTTAAAGTAAAAGACTAGAAAGAAGATCATGAATTATCATGATTCATAATGAGAATGAGGTCCCAGCCGAGTTTAATACTCATGTGTGTATCATTTGCAATTATTCCACTATAATACTAGAACTACTTTAAATGGCAACAAATCATCATTTTAACGTATGAGCATAAGATATTCCAGCCAATTAACAATCAAATATACTTTCCAATCTTGGTGCAGCCCTTGGGACAGCCACGCCAATCTTTAATCTAAATACTAAATACTCTTTGCCTTTTCATGTCATTTTCTCTTCGTTTATTTTAAAATTGCGTAGAGAAATAGTCTCGGTATTAAAGGGATTTCCAGCTAATCATATTCCGAAATAATTAAAGGGATGATAACTAATTAATGTGCCTGGTGATTGGATCGGAGAATTTGCCATTTACTTCATCATTGTCTGATTGCTTAATTATTATAGCTTCAGACTTACCATTTCTTTAATGCCAATATTCTCTTTTTTCACATGATTTGTGCAGTCCAGACCGGCTAAACATTTCACCAACATTCCCCTTTTAATTGATTAGAGTATTGCTTGCTATATACACCTGTCAGGCAATCACAGAGTCACATGGACCCATGAGTGGTCAATTAAATCATTTTTGTCCAAATATGACACTATATGCAAGTGAAACTTTTCTTATGGATATATATTGCCTCTCTATGTTCTTCAATATTTTACTTCTAGTCCAAAAAGACTCTTCTTCCAAATCATAACTTAATGTTTTCTATTCATTTTCAACTACATTATTGGCTTTTTTGGCCCTAAATGGAGTAGTGATAATCAGGTAATTCTAAGGGTGTTAAACGGCCCGGGTCAACCCGTTCCGGACCGGTTGAAACCCGGACCGGTACATAGGGGGCCGGGTGGGCTGGGTTACTGGGGTTAGGGGGTTGGTCCGTTCACTTTCATTCATCCGGTTAACCGGACCGGTCAAACCCGGCAACCAAAATCCCTGTAGAACCGGTTAACCTGCCCGGACCAGACCGATTTAACGGCTAGATTTCAATTTATTTTTTTTAAGGTTGAAGAACGTTGGCAACGGTCAGCTGCCTTATGGCTGTTGCCCAACGTTATTATTCCACAAATAGCCCTTTTTGGGCATTTTTTTTTTTAAAATAACACTTTTTGTAATTACTAATTTAGCCATTTGAAAAAACTATAAATACACTCCCTCTTCTTCATTCTTCACTCATCTCTCATTTCTCAAACTCATATTCTCAATTCAAGTTAAATCATGTCCCGTACTTCTAGAGTGCGCTCATATGTTTGGGAACACTTTGAGGTGGTAGAAGAAAATGAAGAAGTTCATAAAGTCAAGTGCAAGAACTGTGGTCTAGTTTTAAATCTTCGTCTAAAGTGGGTGGGCACAGGCTGTTTAAGGAGGCATATGAAGAGTTGTCTTGAGTATCCTCTAGAAATTCGTATTTAAGTTGATTTGAGACAATTTGTGTTTTTTTAATATTATTAGACGTATTTATACTTAATGTTTTAGTTTGTTAGAATAATTTGAAGTATTATTATTTCAATGAAAATTTAGTTTTACTTTTTTTTCGTTAATTTACTTATTAAATGCAAACTTCAATTGGTAAGTTTGAAATAAAAAAAGCACTTGCAAATTATAAGTGTAATTTTTTTCCCATCTTCATTGTATTCTTTATATTAATATAAATTACAATAGTTATACAAAATACAAAAAAAAAATAAAAAATAACACTAACCCGGCCCGGCCCGGCCCTTGGACCTGTAACCCTTACTGTTCATATTTTACCCGGATGGACCCGGACCCGTTAAGCCTGGACCGACCCGACCCACCCGTTTAACATCCTTAGGTAATTCCGAATCACAAGAAGAAAGAAGGTGAAACAAGGGAATACCCAATATACAACAAACAACAACTAACATAATGTAATCCCACGAGTGGGATCTGAGAAGGGTAGGGTGCACGCAAACCTTACCCCTACCTTAAGAAGTAGAGAGGTTGTTTCCGATAGACCCTCTGCACAAGGAAAAATGCAAAAAGAAGCAGTAGCAACAGATCATAACATCAGCAAAATAACAAGACAAACCAACAAGCTATCAATGAAACTTTGAAGTTGGTTTCTCTATTTCTAACAAATTTATTATCAGCCCATGCCTTTAGCTTTTCTTAAATGTAGTTTGCATAAGGTAAGTTCATGAATGAAAGGAATCACAAGTCCCATGCCTTTAGCTTTTCTTAAATGTAGATACAGAGACTAAAAGTCTATGAACAAACACTCTTATGCTAATAACTGGAATCAATTGTTGGATAATGCAATGCACTCCATCCATAGCCACAAATACTACAAAATGAACAAATCAAGGGGAACATAGAACTTTACACTGATGAACTTACATGAGATACAATCCCTAAAAGGAGTCAGAAAACAAAGATGAAGGCACCCAAAGAACCAACCAAGTCCCTACAATACTGCCTTTAAACAAAGAATTGATGGTCACAACCTGAAAGGATTATTGTACAAAGGCATAAAGCCCACAGAACATGTTTCATAAGCTAAAGTAATTCACACCCTGAACATCTGATATCTTAACACTTGAATAGCTAGGAAGCAGCAGCAGGAGATGAGGAGCCTTTAGAATGGATTCCAAACCACATGCACTTATCTTTCACTGCCTCGGATTCAGTAGCATATTCTTTAAATCTATACTCTTCTTGCTTGCTGGTTGGTGGTACTTTTCCTTCACTGTAACATTGACTGCACAAACTGAAATGCGATTTTATCTCCTTAAAGCGAGACCCTATAATGGGGTAGCAGCAAGTTGCACAAACATGGCTACCATGACGATTCCTATCCCCATATTCAAGCTTCAGTAAAGTGGACATAATACCAAAACCCCAATCAGGATCATCAAACATCGCCGTGAATTCTGCTAAAGACACCAATGATGTGTCCATCTGCCCGTGGATTTCCAACATTTCGCTTGCTCCATGGGAAGGAATATAAATAGCTCTTAGCAGTTTGATGTACCTCTGAGCATCAGTTTTCCTTATCTGGTTGCTACCTTCATTCACAGGACGCCACAAAAGCGCCTCATATGCAATGTGTTTTCTTTTGTCCGGTGATCCTCCACAGACAGGAGCAAGAACGGCAAAAAACATGCCTAGATCCACCCTACCTGATTCTGACTCATCTAAAACAGAGAGAATTTTCTGGTTAATGGCTTTAACAGCTCCTATAAATGTCTCTGGCTTCAAGAATTTAAGCAATCTGTGCATAATCTCCTCTAGTGAAGCCTTGCGTATTGACTTTTCAGGTACACCACCAGAATAAGACAATGGTACATCAGTCTCACCTATTTCCTTCTTTATCTGATCAACATCACAACGATTAAGACGAGTAATCCTCTGAAAACTTCTAATATCAAGAGCAGTGGATAAATCTGGTCTCAATGTGGTCTTGTCGCCCACTGTCTTAAATTTCGAGGGTTCAACAATGATAAAGGCCTCCTCCCCATTACCACTTCCATTCCCCTTCAACCTCTTCTTCTGAAGCTGTTTCAAGTGTGCGATTGCGTCATGCAATTCCACTCTGTTAGTCATCTTCAGAGCTTCTTTCAAAGCTTTCTTAGCTTCCTCGGTTTCCCCAGCCCCCAATAAAGCCACAGCCTTATTGAGCTGCGCTCTCCAATGATTCGGCCAAACACTTAGTACCCTCGTGTACATCTCTGAAGCACGCTGGTATCTGCCCATATCCATGTAAAGTCCACCCAAATTATACAAGGCATCAACATGACCAGGTTTCAAATCAATAGCTCTCTGAAACTCCTTAATTGCATTATCATCATCACCCATCGCGTGCAATGCAGAAGCAAGATCACAATGCGCATCAGCGTAATCACTCTTCATATAAATAGCCTCTTCTAATGCCTTAACAGCTGCCTTATACTCACCCACACCAAAAAGCGCACTACCCAAAAGTTTCAAAGCTCTAAAATGAGTCGGACACAAAATAGCAGCCTCTCTATAATGTTCACAGGCACTAATAACCATACCTTCACCTTCAAGAGCAATACCCAAATTCACATGAATCTGAGGAAGCAAATAAGCCCACTGACTACCACCAGCTTCAGCAGCCTCCAATGCAAGCAAGAACTCCTCTTTTGCCTCACGATGCCTCGCGAGCACGTACAAACAATTTCCAGCCCGAAAATGTGGCCTAACATCAGCAGGCTGCAATTCACAAGCTCTCTTAAAGCTAACTAGTGCTTCCTTAAACAAATGCTGATCATACAAAACTCTACCAATTGCCATGTGACCATCAAAAGCTTCTTCCCTCGACCTTGCCCCATCTGCCCTCGACCTCAACACACCCAACTCCTTCACAAACACACTATAGTCATGTCCAGTCTCCTCCCAAACCACCCGTTTATCCGAAAGCTCAGTCGAGGGTCCTAATTCTCTCGACCAGCCTTCCGAATACACATCAGAATTATCATTCTTTAACTTCCCGTCTTTCGCCTGTTTTGATTTAAGCCTCTTGATCAATATCTCAATGTCATCCACGAGCTTCCACGTGTCATCAAACACAATGCCGTGATTTGGAGAGGCTGCCCATGCCGCAGTCCGCAGTTTCTTGTGAGGCTCCATCACTCTCTCATCATCCACAATTGACGATGATGATGCTTCTTCCGCTGCAGCCATGGAACTTCCAATATTGTCCTCCGGCTTAAACTCGAGCCCAAGCGCGTCGAAGTCACGATCCACGTCACCGGCGCCGTCATCATAGGTACGTAAAAGGCCGTCGTAGGTGAGGCCCTTGTCGCCGTCGATAAACTCGCTGTACGTACGGAAAACCTCATCGAGAATAGCGCTGATTTGCTCGTCGCTGAATTTAACCCTAGGGTTTACGGCGACCACTAGCGCTGCCATTTCCTCACGGTTAAGACCACCGTCACCGTTAACGTCGAATTGCGTGAATATTCTCTTCACCTTCTCTGATCTGCCTCCCCTTGTAGCCATTTTCCTAAAATTTAGGGTTGCAAACTGACAATTCAGCTCAAATTCCTAAGTTTCTCGAAATTGGCTGTGAAAACCCTCAACAAAAAAGAGAACTTTTAAACCGACAATTTAAGTAAAAATTCCAACTTATCTCGAAATTGGGTGTAAAACCCCTCAATCAAGAAGAGAAGTTGGTGAAATGAGGGTAGAGAATTTGCAAATTAGGGTTTAATAGTGAGAACAAAAAAAGGGGGATTTTTAGTGCTAGGGTTTCAGATTATGAAATGAGGGAAATTGGAATTAGGGAAATGAGAGGGAGAGAGATATATGGGTTTAAAGTTGAGATTTTGTTGCATTGGATCTGGGGAAAGAAAATGGGGAAAGATTGAATGGGTAGAGCAAAAGAGACAACTGTTTTTCTGTTTACATTTTGCCCCTTATTTCTTCTTTCTTCTTTTTCTTCTGGTTGTGATTATGGAGTGGTGGGGCTGAGTGACTGGGGACTTTCAAACATCATAGACTTTGTTTTATTTTCTTTTTCTATTTGTTTGGCTAAAATAAGGAATCAGAACCTGGATGTTCCAACTGTCAAAAAAAAAATAAAAAAAATAGAGGGGTGAGGGGGGGGTGAGGGGGGAGGGGGGAGGGGGTGCATTTAGTTAAAAAGAATTTAAAGTTGAAAGAATGCATTTTGAGATTTTACATTTCAATGGGTGCTTACATGTGACTTAATCATGATTAGTAATAAACACAACACATGGTATGCATTTTTTGTCTTGATGCATATATTAAGTCGTAAAGTATATTTTTTAGCCAAATGTTTTATGAATCATATTGTAATTTTAAGGCATTTCGTTGCGCTTTAATTACTTTCCTGATAAGGAAACGATTTGATGAACTAGTAAGATCCCGTTTGACCATAAAATTTATTTTGTGTCTAAATATCTGTTTGTTTATAGATTTTAACTATTTTTTGGTAGATTTTGAAAACAAAATCTTTGAAATCCCAAAAACAACTCTAGAGTAGTTTTTGAAGTTTTCTACTCATAGAACTTCAAATTCTTTTCAAGTAAAATACATGTCCAAACATAATTTTAATTTTCAGAAACTATTTTTCATCTCACCTTCAAATTTTTTTTTTTTTTTTCAAGTTTCAACGAAATGTACGTGCAAAAGCTAGCTAAGTCTCCCTTGGGTATAATAGAGCAAATGATGGTATAATTATAAATATAGTGCTAACTGTTATGAAAGTTATAAAAGAACAAGAACAATATTGTAGAGAAAGAGGGAGATGAATTCTTATTGAATTTGGGATGAATTACAATGGAATATAACCCTCTATTTATAGGGAGAGGGTGACTTAGCCACCAAGTAATAAACCCTAGAATATCTCTAAATATAGACATTCACCATAAATAAAATTCTATTTATAACACTCCCCTTGAATGTCTATTCAACAAAAAGTGTCTCGTGAAAACCTTAACTAAAATAAAATCCAGTGGGAAGAAATTATAGAGAACGAAAAAGAGTACACACATCTAACAATACGCCTTTTGGTTGCCTCATTAAAAACCTTGCAAGGAAAACCCAGTGGAACAAAACCTTGTAAGGGATAAAGAGTGCAACGCACATTAACTCCCCCCTGATGAGAGCATCAATTCATATCCTTGAACCTTCGCATCCCAATCTTGTGCACAATCTTCAAAAGATCGTTGGTAGATGTTTGATAAACAAACAAGCCATATTAACTTCAACGAATTTGTTTCACCTTGAAATCATTATCCCTAATAGATGTATTGTCTTCATATGATCTTGTTGGAATAGTCAGTTCAATATTTTCACATAGAGGTGAACACTCTTGCTATCATATTATCATGCCTATAGTTATAGCAAGATAGCACAAATTGCACTGAGAAACTGGTACTTAAGAATCAAGAATTGTATATGCTTCAAGCAATTTAAATCCTCCAGGGAGTATCATATAAGTTAAGTCATATAAGTCAAATAATAGACTTTAATTAGATGCATATCAAGTTTTCATGTCATGCTAGACAAATAAAATATCGGAAACTGATTGCACATATCATTGACTTTATACTTTCAAGTGTTTGAACTGCAGGTCCAAAACTACATGTTTTTCATATGAAACCAAATTCTACTTGAATTGTTTCTCCAGACTTAAGATCCTCATATATATTTAGTGCTATAATCAATATCGTCGACAAACATTTTATATCGGTTTCAACATTTTTAATAAAGACATAACATAGAGAACTCTTCATTCATATATTCAGGTACCTGAAGCTCTCCTGAAATTTTATGAAGTGTAATGTTATGTGATCTTCTAGATCACTTGCCTCCTTTATTATGATCATTTGCTCATATTCTTTTCAAGAAATTTTATTTGAAACCGATTTGTCTATACGCTTTAAGCGTACCATAGACTTTGTCCTTCTAGGACTTATTCTAATAGGAGCATTTGCAGTGAGAATATAGTCACTTTCTTTGGGTCAGCAAATGTGTAACGACCCGACCGATTGTTTGGATATCTAGCGCGTCGTTCAGCAGTTTGAGGTCATGAGCAGCTTCATTTCAGGTATTATGACTTGTACGCACAGCCAGAATTGAATTCGGGGAAGTTCAGAGTTATTTGGAAAGAGAATTCTCATTTCGGAAGCTTTAAGTTGAAAGAAATGACTAAGATTGGATTTTTGAGTAAACGGCCTCGGAATAGGGGTTCGAAGGTTCCCGCAGGTTTGTATGATGATTTCAGACTTGGGCGTATGCCCGGATCGGGTTTTGGAAGACCCGGGAACGTTTCGGCACCTATTGTGGAAGTTAGCATTTTGGAAGAATTTCATAAGTTTGGGTTGAAGTGCATTTTAGTGTTGTCAATGTCCGTTTGGTATTCTGAGTCTGGGAATAGCTCCGTATGGTGATTCCGGTATTGGGAGCGCGATCGAAAGTGAGTTCGGAGGTCTGTAGGTCGTTTTGGAGTCATTTGGCTAAAGATAGAAATTTGAAGGTTTTTGAGAAGTTTGACCGGAAGTAGACTTTTCGATATCGGGGTCGAATTCCGATTCCGAAAGTTGGAGTAGGTCCGTAATGTCAAATACGACTTGTGTGCAAAATTTAGGGTTAATCGAACGAGATTTGATAGGTTTTGGCATCGAATGTAGAAGTTTGAAATCCTAAAGTTCATTAAGCTTGGATTGGAGGTCGATTCATGATTTTAGCGTTGTTTGATATGATTTGAGGCCTCGAGCAAGTCCGTAATGTGTTTTGAGACTGGTTTGTGTGATTGGACAGGGTCTCGAGGGCCTCGGGTAGATTCCGGATGGTTAGCGGGTTAAATTTGGAAATTTGGTGAAGGATTGAAGCAGCTGGTATCTGGTGTAACCGCACCTGTGAGGTTTTGGCCGCAGGTGCGGAGCCGTAGAAGCGGCCATGAGGGTCGCAGATGCGACTTTGGCTGGGAGTGCTTGGACCGCAGATGCGATTGCCCCGCCGCAGAAGCGGGACCGCAACTGCGGTGAAGAAGGCGCATATGCGAAGTGGAGGGGGCTGGAGGAGGAACTCAGAAGTGGGCCATGTGCCGCACCTGCGGAACCGCAGAAGCAGTCAAGTGACCGCAGGTGTGAAAGTGCTGGAGGCAGTGAGTTCTTTAAAAATCGGGATTTGGACCATTATCCTCCATTTTTCTTCTTGGTTGGGCGATTTTGGAGCCTTGGAAGAGGGGGATTTCATCACCAAGCATGAGGTAAGTGGTTTATGCTAGTTTTGAGTTAAATACATTGATTTTGTATAGATTTTAGCATGAAAATTGGTAAAAACTTGGGGTTTGAGGGAAAACCTAGAAAATTAGTATTCTTGGATTTTAACCATGATTTTGGGTATGAAATTGAGAGTAAATTATATATTTGAATTCGTGAGGCTATGGGTAAACTTTATCTTCGAAAAATTTCGGAATCCGGGCACGTGGACCGAGGGCCTTTTTGTCAACTTTTCGATTAGGGTTAAGAATTGTTATAAATTGGATTATTATGAGTAATTGAACATATATTAATGGATTTGCATAATTATTGGCTAGTTTTGGAGCGTTGTGCATCAATTTGAGTCTTCGGAAGGGCGTGGAATGCCGGTTATGGACCTTCGAAGCGAGGTGAGTCTCCTTTCTAACCTTGTAAGAGGAAATTATCCCTATAGGTGAATTAATTGAATATGTCCTGTTAATGTGGGGGGGGGGGCTACATACGCACGAGGTGACGAGAGTCCGTGCGTATCTACTATTATGCTTAAGTCCGGGTAGTCTAGGACCCAATAGCATGCTTTACTTGCAATATTTGAGATATTATTGTCAATTTAAAATGCTTAAAACATATTGAACGTGTATAATGATTTTCTAAAAGACCGGACATCGTTTCTCGATTTTTTTAAAAGAGAAATTGTTTTTCCTTGAATAATTGCTCCCTGATGAACTCTTGATTGACTGTTGGTTGTGTTTATTTATATTTGACCGCGTAGCATGTATGATTCGCGAGCGGGGTAATGTAATGCATCTATGATTCGCGCCATTCGACCCTCTGGCAGTGCACAGTTTAAATATTATTGCATCGGGCCGTACGACAACGGCATGATTTGCGCATGCTTGTATTGCTTGCCTTGAAATTTATTGAAGTGAATTGATTCTTCCCGACTTGAGAATAAATGTATAAAATATGAAAAGGAATTTGGGAAATTTCCTATAAAAGAAAGAATTGTTTACTTGCTTCATTCTATTGAATTACAATCATGTTTATAAAAATCCTCGATTAATTATATTATTGACGTATCATTATTGGACCACTATTAAGTGTCGAAGTCGACCTCTCATCTCTACTTCTTCGAGATTAGGCGGGATACTTACTGAGTACACGTTCTTTTCGTACTCATGCTACACTTGCTGTGCATTTTTGTTGCACAGGCACTGGTATATCTAGTGGCCTACTGGGCGTAGCAGCATGGATGATACGGGGACTAGGCGAGCTGTATTTCTCGAGGCGACCCGCAGCTAGTATAGTCTCTTTCAGCGCATTGTATTTACTTTCTGTCCAATTTGTATTCCGGACAGTTATTGTACTTTATTTGATTCCTTAGTAATTGCCCATGCACTTGTGACACCGGGTTCTGGGATGATTATGGGGTATTCTGTAATAACTTCTAAACATTCTTTATTTATTTTGAAAAGATTATCTTTTACTAGCCAAATTGAAAGAAATCATAGTTTTCACAATTATTTAAATGAGAATTTAATTAAGTATTTATGGTTGGCTTGCCTGACAGCGGTGTCCGGCGCCATCACGACCCTTAGTTTTTTCTATGTCGTGACAATATATGTTTGGCATGCTTTGCAATACATTGCACATGAATTAACTTTTTATGAATTTCAAGTTCATATTATCTTATTTGAGGATCTAGATGTAAAAATGATAATTCATTCCACGTAACTTTTTTCTCAACTATTTATCCTTTCTCCCCCTCATGTTAGAAAAACCAA